GAGGCACAGGCACCGTGGTACACTGGGTTCAGCTACTGCTTCGAAGGCTGGCATCCCACACGGGAAAGCCTGGTTTGAGTCTTGGCTACTCTGTACTTCCAATCCAGTTTCCTGCTGCTACTCCTGGGAGGCAGGAGATTATGGCCTAAGTATTTGGGTTTTTGCCACCCACATAGGAGACCTGTATTGAGTTCCTAGTTCCTGGCTTTTGCCTGGCCCATTCCTGGCTGCTGTGGGCATTTGGGGAATGAACCAGCAGACAGAAGATCTCTCTCCTTCTCTTTTCTTTCTCTGCACCACTCTGCCTTCCAAATAAAGTAAATCTCAAAAAAAAAATAGCATCATATTATGCCAGAATTTGTGTGAACAAAGCCACTAAAAACAGTAACCTTTTTGTTAGGGTAAAATATGGACTATCTTGGGTTGTTCACAGGAAGAAATCAGAATAAAAGTAACTGCATTTTTTTTGAATTGTGAAACCTGTTTATATGATTTTTTTTAAGATTTTATTTATTTATTTGAGAGGTAGAGTTATAAACAGAGAGAGGGTGAGACAAAGAGAAAGGTCTTCCATCCACTGGTTCACTTCCCAGATGGCTACAACTGCTATAGCTGGTCTGATCTGAAACCAGGAGCCAGGAGCTTCTTTCAGGCCTCCCAAAAGGGTACAGGGGCCCAAGCACTTGGGCAATCTTCTACTGCTTTCCCAGGCCACATAGCAGGGAGCTGGATCAGAACTAGAACTGCTGGGACTTGAACCAGCGCCTGTATGGGATGCTGGCACCACAGGTGGGGGCTTAGCCCACTACACCACAGTGAGGCCCCTGTTTATATGATTTCAATGTACATTTGTATGGATTGATTTGGGTAGTATACTTAGTAATGACTCCTCCTGGACTGATTGACAAGAATGATGCTGGGGTGGGTACTGTGGCAAAGAGGGTTGAGTTGCCACTTGGGACACCTGCATACTCATATCCATCTAGCTCCTCCACTTCCCATCTAGCTTCCTTCTAGTGCACCTGGGAAAGCAGAAGATAGCCCACACGCTTGGGCCCCTCCAACCCATAGGGGAGACCTGCATGGAGCTCTAGGCTCTTGGCTGTGACCTGACTCTAGATGTTGTGGACATCTGGGGAGTGAACCAGAGGATAGAAGATCTCTTTTTCTGTGTGTGTGTGTGTGTGTGTCTGCCTCTCTCTGTTACTCCACCAATCAAATAAAAATAAATGAATCTTTTTTTAAAGATTTATTTATTTACTTGAAAGTCAGAGTTACACAGAGAGAGGAGGAAAGGCAGAGAGAGGGGAGAGAGAGAGAGAGAGAGAGGTCTTCCATCCACTGGTTCACTCTCCAATTGGCTGCAATGGCCAGAGCTGCACCGATCTGAAGCCAAGAGCCAGGAGCTTCTTCTGGGTCTCCCACGTGGGTGCAGGGGCCCAAGGACTTGGGCCATCTTCTACTGCTTTCCCAGGCCATAGCAGAGAGCTGGATCAAAAGTGGAACAGTGGCCGGCGCCGCGGCTCACTAGGCTAATCCTCCGCCTAGCGGCGCCGGCACACCGGGTTCTAGTCCCGGTCGGGGCGCCGGATTCTGTCCCGGTTGCCCCTCTTCCAGGCCAGCCCTCTGCTGTGGCCAGGGAGTGCAGTGGAGGATGGCCCAGGTGCTTGGGCCCTGCACCCCATGGGAGACCAGGAAAAGCACCTGGCTCCTGGCTCCTGCCATCGGATCAGCGCGGTGCGCCGGCCGCAGCGCGCTGGCCGCGGCGGCCATTGGAGGGTGAACCAACGGCAAAGGAAGACCTTTCTCTCTGTCTCTCTCTCTCACTGTCCACTCTGCCTGTCAAAAAAATAAAAAAATAATAAAAAAAAAAAATAAAAAAAAAAAAAAAGTGGAACAGCCGGGACTTGAATGGGCGCCCATATTGGATGCCAGCACTATAGGTGGCAGCTTTACCCATTACACCACAGCGCTGGCCCCCAATAAATGAATCTTTAACAGAATGATTAATGTTTAATTTTCAGCCTCTTTAAAATCTAAATTAAGGGCAGCACTGTGGTATGGTGGGTAAAGCTGCTGCCTGCAGTGCCGGCATCCCATATGGCACCAATTCAAGACCTGGCTGCTCCACTTCTGATCCCGCTCCCTGATATGACCCGGGAAAGCGGTGGAAGATGGTCCAAGTCCTTGGACCCCTGCACCTGTGTGGGAGTCCCTGAAGCTCCTGGTTCCTTGCTTTGGATCAGCACAGCTCCGGCTATTGCAGCCATCTAGGGAGTGAACCAGCAGATGGAAGACACCTCTCTTTCTCTTTCTCCCTCTCCCCACCCTCTCTCCCTCTCTCTGCCTCTGCCTCTCTGTAACTCTGCTTTTTAAATAAAATATTTTTTAAAAAATCTAAATTAACTTATATTTCCTTTAAAAATATTTGATACCTAAAAATTAAAGAAAAAATGTGGTTTAAATTTGGGGAAAGACGAGCATTCAGTGACAAAACTCCTCAACAGCCAACTCTTGATTACATATGGGAAAGCAGCGCAAAGAAAGTACGAAGGGAGATGAACTACACGGATGACACTCATTCTGTAGTTAATTAACATTTGTAGGGTTTTCTAATGACTTACTTATTTGAAAGAGAGATCTTTCATCCACTGGTTCACTCCTCAAATGACCACAACAGTTAGGCCTGGGTGAGGCTGAAGCCAGGAGCTGGGAAATCCAACTGAGTCTCCCATGTGGGTGGCAGGGCCCAAGCATGGGCCGTCATCTGCTGCCTTCCCAGGTGCATTAGCAGGGAGCTGGATCAGAAGCAGAGCAGCTGGGACTCAATCCAAAGCTTATATGGGATGCCATCACAGGTGGCAGCTATACCCCGTGTACCACAATGCTCCCCCTAATTTTGTGTTTGTTTCGATCTTTCTCCCACTAAGGAACACTAAGAGGCGTGAAGTTGATTGAGTTTCATCTTCCTTGATCTGTTTGCCAGCTGGCAGATTACATAAAAAGCAAGGATCTGGATGAAGAACTGATAGGATTCTGTACCCTCATAATTCAACTGTGAGAAGAGCTAGACCTCCGGGCGGGGCGGGAGGAGCACATGGAGACATGCCTGATCCACTGTTCCCCTCTTGCACACAGCTGTGTCACAAACAGGCCCTGGTTTTCATGGGTAGAGACCTGAGGGGGTGGGGAGTGGGGGAAAGGGGCTGCGGCAGCTCTCTCTTCTGTCAGGAACTACTGCAGCAGGCCTCGTGTTGGCCTTAGCTCCAAGTCACTGTTACTTGTGTGGGGTCTTCAGAAGAATGATGGAAAACGGGGTGGAAGGATCCACTTGTTCAGGTGCTGCTGCAGTTTGACATGATTGGCTCCCCAACTTAGGCAGATGGTTAGACTCCAGAGTGCTAAATCAATGGCACGGCATGGAATCCTAATCCAATCAGGATTTCTAGGTGGTGGCACAGTGGGAGGTCCCTAGCTCCCTGGAGGTGTGTCCCAGGAAGGCAGTTCTCCGTGAGCTGGGCCTGGGTGAGCTTCTGCTTCCTGGCTCACCATGGGATTGCTCCTCCACACTGCTGGCACCATCCTCCAGCCCCGCAGAAACCAGACCAGTGGGGCCTGTCTCATCTTGGACTACGAACCTCCAAAACAGTGAGCAAAATAAACCTTTTCCTTCATAAGCAGCTTTTGCTGGGTATTTAAATCATAGTAACAGAAAGCTAATACAGGTATGAAGTTTTTTTGTAACATACATTTTCTGTAAACATTTTGAAGACTCTTCGTAGTATCTGTCATAAGTGCTTAGGGATACCACAGTAAACATGAGACATTTCTACACTAAAAGGCAAGGCAAAGACATGTAAGCAGAGAACGGTAATGACATTTAACAGGTGCTGTGATGTCAAAGGGGACAGTGTGCCCATGTGGAGGAAGCAAGTCAGCTCCACTGGGGGGATGGGGGAGGGATGGCTCCTGGTCTGGCAGGTGGTTCTGATGTGGGGACTGGTGTGAGAAAAGAAACTGGAGAAGAATACACCAGTAGGTAGGGGAAGCCGCATGAGTGGCAACGAGAAGGCACGGAAATAAGAGGGAATATTTAGAAAGCTGCCAGTGATTAGAGACGGATGGTGCATATGACAGGACTGGACAGAAAGGCAAGTGCCACTGGAGCACAGAGACCTTTGTGCCATGTTAAGGAGCTGGGATTCGATAGAGAACGTGATTAGGGACTGCTGCAAGGGAGGGGTGTAATCCTATCTTGCTTTTGGAAGATCACCCTGTCTACTTGTGGAGGCTGGAGCGCAAGGGTGCAAAGCTGGAGGCACAGCCGGCACTTATGGGCGGTGACTGGGACAGGGCAGGTGAAACGGTGGCGGCTCCACATGGAGCAGCAGCAGTGGGAATGAGGTCCAGGGCCTGATTCAAGAACAGTTTCAGAGGGAGAGACTTCCAGTTACAGGACAAACTGTGAGAGGGGCAGAAGAGGCCCTCATCTGGGGGTGGAGAGGAATGGGAAGTTGAACATTACCAACACGTAACTTCAGGAACATGTAACATTGTGCTACTGTCACATCACATGGGAGTATAACATTTTTATAATGTCTATCAAAATCTTCCAGGGGGCCAGTGCTGTGGCGCAATGGGTTAAAACTGCAGTCTGCAGTGCCGGCATCCCATATGGGCACCACTTCGAGTCCCAGCTGCTCCACTTGCAATCCAGCTCCCTGCTAATGGCCTGGGAGAGCAGTGAAGATGGTGCAAGTCCTTGGGCCCCTGCACCCTCGTGGGAGACCCAAAAGAAGCTCCTGGCTCCTGGCTTTGTATCGGCCCAGCTCTGGCTGTTGTAGCCATTTGTGGAGTGAACCAGCAGATAGATCTCTCTCTCTGCCTCTGCCTCTCTCTAACTGTGCCTTTAAATAACAACAACAAAAAAAGTCTTTAAAAAAAAAAAGATGCACATAAATCACCTGCGTCCCACATCGGAGTGCCTGTTTTGTTTTGTTTTTGTTTTTTTTTTACATTTATTCACACTCAGGGACTAGTTTATTTTTCCCAAAAGACCTATTTTAGTGACCATCTCAGCATAATCGTTTTCTTGAGGTATAAGTGGCATACAACAAAGTACACCTAATTTTATTGTACAGTATAAGGTTGAATCAATGCCTGTATTTATAAAGCCATCATCACATCTTCATTTCCATTCATTTGCAACAGACATCATAATTTCATTCTTTTTAATATCTGAGTAGCATCCCCTTTACATAATAATATGCCTTTTTTTTCTTACTCTAGAGTCCTTTTCTTGAATCCCAAATTAAGTGGCATTAATATCTCTGCTTTCAAGATAAATAGTATGGATGTGTGTATCCATGTTATTTACAGATGAAGTAAATATAGCTAAATTTTAAGAATTGCTAATCTAAGAGGAAACACTAAAGTATAGGTGGCACACTAAACGTCATGCGACATAAGCAGGAGCCGCGTGGGACACAGCAGGTCAAGCTTCTTGCCTCGCCTTCTGAATCAGGCATTGGTGTGGAGTGCTGGTTTGCGTCCTGCTGCTCAGCTTCCTGCTAATGTACATGCTACCAAGGTTCCACGAGGACAGTGCCAACATGGCTGTCAGCTTTCTCACCGACTTCAGGGAATAAGAGGCATCTGGAGCTGGAGTGTGCATGGCAAGACAGAACCGTGCACGACTGGCCCTCCAGCCGACAGCAGCTGGCTGCACCACATCTGCACCTCGAGCACTAGGAACCAGCCACGTGGAGGAGCATCTAGGCCAGGAAGCTACAGGCGCAGGGCTACACAGCCCTCCTGGCAAGAGGCAGGGAAAAGAAGGAGTGCCGGGTTTGATGCCTGCCTCCAGCCCCGGATTCCAGCTTCCTGCTAACTGAGACCTTGGGGAGGCAGCAGTGATGGCTCAAGTAATTGGGTCCCTGCCACCATGCGGGAGACCTGGATTGAGTTCTTGGCTCCAACTTCATCCCCAGTCACGGATGTTGTGGGTATCTGGGGATTGAACCAAAGACGGACGCATTCTCTTCCTCTCTGTGTCTGTCTGCCTTTCAAATTAATAAACAAAAAGTTTTAAAAAAGATGGCCTACCACGGTCATGGACTTCAAATGGTTTTTTAATCTTCTTGGTCTGCAGGAAATAGAAAATAATGTAAAAAGAAGACAGAGAGAGAAGAGACTAAAATAGTGAACAGAGTGAACAGTATGCCATTATTTAGCATATTTTCCCCTTCACTTTCAAGAAATAATTGTTTAGGACAGAACTAGGAGACCCTACAGACTTAAGATAAAGCTTTTCAGTAACACCTGGCTCATTCTCACTGCATTTAAATAAAATACCGAGCCACAGTTCATTGCATCTCACATCCTCACAGGTCTTTCTTAGGAAAAGGTTGTGGCTATGACTTGAAAACCTAATGAATTTCCTTGACGATGATGAAGAACTGAAGGCGGCAGTGACGTGTGAGACAGGAGTCGGCTCCTGTGTCCTTGTTTTCCACCTGTTCCACCTCCAACAAGTGGCAAAGGCAGCTGGATAGTTTCGGGGGGACACAGAGGTGGTGTATAGCTTGCACACATGCTGTCAGTGGACTGCAGGGCCGGTGGCAGAAGGCTTGTGTTGGTCTGGGGCTTGCTAACAAGTGGCCTGACCAGCGGGAAGGGGCCTTCACAGCTCTTCCGCTCCATCTCCTGCCCCTGCTTCCAGGTCAGCCTAAATCTATACAAAGGGGCCTCAAAGCAACCAAGATGTCTGAATGACTGAAATACATGCAAATTCATATGCAAATTTTCTTATTTGAAACAATTCTTCTTGCCCTCGCCGTGGCTCAATAGGCTAATCCTCCGCCTTGCAGCGCCAGCACACTGGGTTCTAGTCCTGGTCGGGGCGCCGGATTCTGTCCCGGTTGCCCCTCTTCCAGGCCAGTGGAGGATGGCCCAGGTCCTTGGGCCCTGTAACCCATGGGAGACCAGGATAAGCACCTGGCTCCTGCCTTCGGATCGGCGCGGTGCGCCGGCCACGGCAGCCATTGGAGGGTGAACCAACGGCAAAGGAAGACCTTTCTCTCTGTCTCTCTCTCACTGTCCACTCTGCCTGTCCAAAAAATAAAAATAAAAATAAAAATAAAAAATAAAACAATTCTTGACAAAAATATTCAACAATTTCTCTCCACAATCAGAGAAGATCCACATTCAGTTACATGAGCTTTTATTATTTGTGATTTGCCATGCATCAGGGGAAATCAATAAACTTAATGGAGGAATAACACCTCACTCACTGGACTAGAAGTTTCAGTTCGGGCACCTGTGGAACACAAAACGGCCTCCAGATGATTTTAACCTAGACTTAGCCAAAGTAACTGACCACATTCTTTCTTCTTAGGAAGAAAAACCAATCTCCTGGCAAATGCAGATGGTAGCAAGCAAGCCTGACTCACAATGTAATCAAATGCAACTTTGGTTTTGTCTCCGGTTTCCACTTGTAGGCTTCTCATCAAGGGAAGCTTTTCCTTTGCCAGAACACACAGCAGGCCCAAGGATTTTTCTTTTTATGTGTTCATTTGCTTATTTCACAAAAAGGGATGGAACTTTTTTTTTTCTGTCAAGGGCCATTTGGATACTGATAACATCAGCAGCAGCCCATAAAAAATCATCAACTTAAAATTAGCGTGGTATACAGACACTGAAGTTTGAGTCCCGCCGGCGGTTGCCTCGGCAGGGCCAGATGCAATGATTTCGCAGGCTTTGCAGGGCCTGGGCTGGACCTGAGAGGCAGCACCAGTCCCCACTGTGAGGCACTCAGGGTGCCCAGGCTCACGGTGCATCTTCGAATCTGCACTCACAGACAGGACTTCTCGCCCTGTCAGCTCAGGCCCGTGGACGCCCGGCCTTCAGAGGCACCGAGGTCGGGGTCAGCTGTCTCCTGGCTCACCTCCTTCTCCATTTGGAGGAGGACAGAGGAGGCAATGGGACAGCTGTTTCTTGGCTGGGCAGCGTCAGGGTCTGCCTGGCAGTGGCTAAAGCGGAGTCTTTCTCTTTGGAGCTTGTGAGTGACCGACCTCTCCCTCGACTCCGGCCGATCCATTTCCCTTCCAGGTGGTCACCTGATGCCCCTCCTTCTCTTCTGGTTCCTCAGTGCTAGGATCCCCCCACTGTGGGCAGAGCCCAGGATACGCCAGCCCATCCTCTGTCCTGATGAGACTGGGGAGAAAAGCCGCCCCACGAATGGTCCTGCTGTCCTGCCACCACAGCCTCCTTCATTTTCTTAGGCACAAGGGAGTTCTTAGTCCTCTGCTTCCCAGCTTCCTTTTATTTAACGAATTTGAAGAGCAGAGAGAGAGAGAGAGAGAGAGAGAGAGAGATTGATTTTTCCATTTATGAGTTCATTCCGCTCAGTCTGGGTTTGCCGTATGGGTGGCAGGGACCCAACCACCTGAACCATCACTGCTGCCTCTTCCCAGGGTGGGCAGTAGTGGGAAGCTGGAGTCAGAGCAGAACCAGGACTCGAGTTTGGGAAGCAGGCAACCCAAGCAGAGTCTTAACTGTTGTACCGAACATCTGCCTCTCCCAGTTTTTAGGGCCCATGCTTCAAAGTTCTCTGGAGACCTCGCACAAGGCTTCAGGTCAAGGAGACAGAATTACGTGGGGGCAGGGAAGCCCATGACACAGCAGAGTCCAGGCAAGCTCCTCCTCAAGCTTCCTGCTCTCCACACTTCACACACTTCAGAGTGAGCCGAGGAACAGGGCTCACGGCACGCACTCTCTTGTGGGGAGCAATCCGGACTGGACTGAGTTACTGGAATTAGGACTTATTCTATGCATCTGCTCTCCCACAATATGGCGCTGGGAGAGAAGTAAACAGCTTCCGCACAGCTGCCTCCAGTTCAACTAATAAACTGTAGGACTTGCTCCTGATTGGAGGAGAGCAGCGTACTCGGCGTGTGGGCAGCCGAGTTAGGATTGGCGGAGGAGGACTATAAAGGAGGAGAGAGACGGCATGCACCGGGAACATCTATGGGGAACATCTAAGGGAACCCGTGCAGCCCCCGAGAGAACCGGCCGGCGGTGTGCTGCTCCCCTGCGGAAGTGGGGAATGTGGCCAGGGGGAACTGCCCTTCCACGGAGGTGGAAGGGATAGTAGCCAACCCGGGAAGAACCAGCAGCAAACCCGGGGAGGGCCGAGCAGACGAAAGAACAGCGCAGGGTCCTGTGTCGTTCCTCCACGAAGACGGGGAGCGACATAATGGTGCCGTGACTCGGATATGAAGCCTAGGCAGGGTTTAGTGTCGTTCCTCCACGAAGAGGGGGAGCGACATAATGGTGCCGTGACTCGGATAGGAAACCTAGCTCGGATAGGAAACCTAGAACGGATAGGAAACTTAGGAAGGAAGAAACGGGAAGAACTGGGAAAAATACCGGAGAGAGAGACTAGCAAACAGCCTAGGGAAAAGCCGGACGAAAAGGGTGCCGGAAGAAGCTATTGAAAGCCTAGGCATAGACTCAGATACGGACTACGGGGGGAAGCTGGGAGAAATCTCTAAGGTCGAAAGCGAAAGTGAAAGCTAGAACAGACTCGGACGCGGACTGTGGGGAGAGGCCAGGAGAAATGAGGGAGGAATATCCTTGGAGGAAAGTTTGGGGAAACATACCGGGTAGAGAAAAATGTTAGGGAAATTGAAGCCACGGGGGGCAGGCCAAGGCGGACACGAAAGCCACTTTGGGGTTCTCAAGATAGCCCGGGAATAGGGGGCGAAAAGTTGAAACCAGAAGCTGAAACGTGAGCCAGATTGGGATCCGTCTGATTAGCCCGGGGAGCAAAGGACGGGAAGCCAAATCGTGGGGCGGAGACGTATGCTGGGTTGAATTCGCCAGGCTAGCCCGGGGAACTTAGATTGAATGCTAGTGGCGGACACGTAAGCTACGCTGTGTTACTCGCGGAAGCCGCCGCGTGCAGAGAGAGCACGGGGCGTGAATAGATAGGGAACGGGGCTGGAGCGAGGCCGTGGTGCAGACGCGAAGGGCGTGGAGACCGCGGAGCGCGCGAAGCCAAGCCGCGCAAAGCCGGGAAGCTGCGCAGATGAGAGAGGCGCGGGCTGAAGCGGCTCAGAGCCGGAAAGCTGCCGAGAAGCAGCCTCGGGGCAGGCGCAGCCGGAAAGCCGCAGGGATAAGAGAAACAGAAGTTTAGAAGTAAAAGAGAAATAGGAATGCTGGAAGATAGAAGTAAAATGGGAGAAATAGGAATGCCCGGAGATAGAGAAATAGAGAAATAGAAAGGCCTCCCTACAACACTGCAATGTGAAAGCTTGGATTCGGTCTGCCCGATTAGTGAGGCGATGAGCACCTGGGCGGCTAGCAGCTTATGCGCCGCAGGTCACCGAAGACAGGCACGAATTAACATCAGTAAGGCCTCCCCACAAAAAGGCAATGAGAAGGCTTGGATTCGGTCTGCCTAATTAAGGCGGTAAGCGCCAGCAGGCGGCTCGACCAGAGTGTGAGCCGCAGGTCACCGAACACAGGCACGCATCAGCGCCTAAAAACCTCCTCACAACATGGCGAAGAGAGGACCCGGATTCGGTTTTCCTGATTGATAGGACTTGTAAGAGCCTGTGGCAACTCTAGCAAGTAGAGCAGAGTGTGTGCCGCGGGACACCGAAGACAGGCGCGTATCAACGCCAAAAATAAAAAGAAAGGGGGATCTGTGGGGAGCAGCCGGACTAGACTGAGTTACTGGAATTAAGACTTATTCTATGCATCTGCTCTCCCACAATATGGCGCTGGGAGAGAAGTAAACAGCTTCCGCACAGCTGCCTCCAGTTCAACTAATAAACTGTAGGACTTGCTCCTGATTGGAGGAGAGCAGCGTACTCGGCGTGTGGGCAGCCGAGTTAGGATTGGCGGAGGAGGACTATAAAGGAGGAGAGAGACGGCATGCACCGGGAACATCTATGGGGAACATCTAAGGGAACCCGTGCAGCCCCCGAGAGAACCGGCCGGCGGTGTGCTGCTCCCCTGCGGAAGTGGGGAATGTGGCCAGGGGGAACTGCCCTTCCACGGAGGTGGAAGGGATAGTAGCCAACCCGGGAAGAACCAGCAGCAAACCCGGGGAGGGCCGAGCAGACGAAAGAACAGCGCAGGGTCCTGTGTCGTTCCTCCACGAAGACGGGGAGCGACAGAGGAGGACTATAAAGGAGGAGAGAGACGGCATGCACCAGGAACATCTATGGGGAACATCTAGCTGAAGGAACACCTGTGCAGCCCCCGAGAAGAGCCAGTCGGCGGTGTGCCGCTCCCCTGCGGAAGTGGGGAATGTGGCAGGGGGAACTGCCCTTCCACGGAGGTGGAAGGGATAGTAGCCAACCCGGGAAGAACCAGCAGCAAACCCGGGGAGGGCCGAGCAGACGAAAGAACAGCGCAGGGTCCTGTGTCATTCCTCCACGAAGAGGGGGAGCGACACTCTCTGGCATAACTCTGCACGTGGGGAAAACGTACCGCCCCTTGAGAACTGTGTTACCAGCACCTAAGGAATGGGACCAGGAAGAATTCCACTGGATCATCCTACAACGTTCTGAACCAACCCCATAGGGTTTGTGCACCAGCCTTGTAGCATCTGCTACTGAGATGCTTCGAACACTGCGGATTATAAAGCTTGATGTCAGTGTGGGGAGATTCGGTTGTCAGAACAGAGCAAGCGGCTTTGCTGCAGACAGCGTCTCAGCGCCTGATCTCCATGGCATCTCACTGTACATGCTGTGAGGGCAAGGCTCTACCCAAAAGATTTATCCAGCAACTGTTTTATGTGAGCAAAACCACCACGCTCCTTCACATACCTGGCTCCTTTATCCTACATAGAGATGAGGACAAGATCTGTTATCTACAAAGATATTTAAAGTTAACGACACTACTACTTTTTAAAAGGAGGGAAATTACCTTGGTTTTCTGGCACTCTCCCTGGGCCTCCTCAATAAATCTTCCAAATGTTTATTTCTCTCTTCCAAGCTGAAGGAAGAAACAGTTGAATTATAGCACTAAAGTGGAATTTTCTAGACCAATATTTGGTTAGAGTCACTGGAGGATCTGAGCAGGTTAAGTTCAAATGGTGACTCCAGTTCATCACGTAGGAACTGCTGATTCTTTCCGAGCTACTCAAATTATTGGATCCATTTTTTTTTCCTGTACAGGTTGTTCCAGTGGTGGGGGTATAAGCAGTAGTGACTATATAAAATGACAATTGATATTCTCTATTTGTTTATATACTGGCCTGGCCCAGTGCTGGCTACTGCCAGCCATCTATAGAGTGAACCAGCAGATGGATGATCTCTCTTTCTGTGTCTGTCTGTCAGTCTATCTCTCTCTCTCTGTAACTCTTTCATGCAAATCTTTTTAGAAAAATGTGATTTGTATGCACAGTGGAATACCACTCAGCCACAGAAAGGATGAAATCTTGCCATTCACAGCAACACGGATGTCTGGTGATCATTATGTTAAGTGAAGTAAGCCAACCGCAGAAAAGAAAATATTGCATGATCTCACCCAATATGGAGTCTAAAACAAAGGTGATTTCTTAGAAGTTAAAATGGTGTTTTCTGGGGCTGGTGCTGTGGCGTTATGGGTTAAGCCGCTGCCTACAGTGCCAGCATCCCATATTGGCAGCAGTTTGAGTCCTGGCTGCTCCACTTCTGATCCAGCTCCCTGCTGGTGTGCCTGGGAACGCAGCAGAAGATGGCCCAAGTGCTTGAGCCCTGCCACCCCATGGGAGACCTGAAAGAAGCTCCTGGTTCCTGACTTTGGATCAGCCCAGCTCCATCAACTGTGGCCATTTGGGGAGTGAACCAGCGGATAGAAGATCTCTCTTTCTGTCTCTCTCTCTTTCCTCTGTCTCTGTAACTCTGCCTTTCAAATAAATAAAAAAAGAAATTCTGCGGTTCTATTGCATAGTACATGACTCTGGATAGTGTTAACATAATGAGGGGCAGGTGTTTGGTGCAGCAGGGAAGACACCACTTGGGACATCCACGTTCCGTATCACAGTGCCTGGGTTTCAGTCCTGGCCCTGCTCCTGATTCTAGCCTCCTCTGATGTACACTCTGGAAGGCAGCATGTGATGGCTCAAGTACCTGGATTCCTGCCACTCACACGGGAATTCTGGGCTCCCAACTTTGAGACCGGCCTAGCCCTGGCTATTCCAGGCGTTTAGAATATGAACCAGCAACTGAAGATGTTTCTCTCTAGCTCTCAAATAAATACTGTATATTTCCCTCAAAAAAAAAAGTCTAGAGGATAGGATTTTGAATATTTTCATCATAGAAGAATGTGAGATATTTGAAGAGATAGATATATTCACCCTGATTAGACATCACACAATATATACCTGCATTGAAACATTGCGCAGTACCTCATAAATATGTACAAATATTATTTTTTTTGACAGGCAGAGTGGATAGTGAGAGAGAGAGACAGAGAGAAAGGTCTTCCTTTACCATTGGTTCACCCCCCAAATGGCCGCTGCGGCTGGCGCACTGCGCTGATCCGATGCCAGGAGCCAGGTGCTTCTCCTGGTCTCCCAGCCAGGTGCTTCTCCTGGTCTCCCATGTGGGTGCAGGGCCCAAGCACTTGAGCCATCCTCCACTGCACTCCCTGGCCACAGCAGAGAGCTGGCCTGGAAGAGGGGCAACTGGGACAGAATCTGGTGCCCCGACCGGGACTAGAACCCGGTGTGCCGGCACCGCAAGTGGAGGATTAGCCAAGTGAGCCACGGCACCGGCCAGATGCATTTATTTATTTGAAAGGCATAGTGACAGAAAGAGGAGGGGAGAGACAAAGAAAAAGAAATCATCTATCTGCTAGTTCACTTCCCAAATGGCTGCAACGGCCAGGACTGGGCCAGGCCAAAGCCAGGAGCCTGGAACTCCATCCATCTCTGCTGCATGGGTGACAGGAGCCCAAATACTTGAGCCATAAGCCACTGCCTTTCCAGACGCTTTAGAAAGAAGCTGGACTGGAAGTGGAGCAGCCAAGACCGAAAGGCACTCTGTCACAGGAGACCAGCATCAAATGCAGCGGCTGAATCTTCTGTGCCACACCCCAGCCCCAATACTGCCAACTTTAACCAAATTAATAGACTAGCAAGAGTTTAAATAGTACTCTAATGATGTATCTGCTAATTTCTGATGCAGCAAATATCTTTTAATCAGATAAAGAAAATTCACTACAATTCAAAATATTGTCCTTAAAGGATGTAAGAATATATTTGATAACACACACACACACTGATCACTTGAAGCAAATCAACTCCCATGATAACTGATGGTGGTGGTTGATTTTTGTAGCAAATGGAATCACTGGGGCCAGCGTGGTAGGCTAAGCCTCCGCCTGCGGCACCAGCGTGCTGTATGAGTGTTGGTTCTAGTCCCGGCTGCTCCTCTTCTGATCCAGCTCTCTGCCATGACCTGGGAAAGCAGTGGAGGATGGCCCACGTGCTTGGGCCCCTGCACCTACATGGAAGACCCAGAAGAAGCTCCTGGCTGCTGGCTTCAGATTGGCCCAGCTCATTTGGGAAGTGAACCAGCAGATAGAAGACCTTTCTGTCTCTCCCTCTCTCCCTCTGTCTGTAACTCTACCTCTCAAATAAGTAAATGACATCTTAAAAAAAAAAGAAAACAGAATCACCTAGATGGCTTGTGAAATATGTGGTACTTTAAAAAATTCATGGAAAAATGGAATTAAAGAGGCCCAACGGCTTAAATCGCCTCTCCCAACTCCGGCATCCTATGTCAGAGCTCTGGGTCAAGTCCTGGCTGCTTTGCTTCTGACGCAGCTCTTTGCTAATGCACCTGGGAAAGCAGTGGGAAATGGCCCAAGTACTTGGGGCCCTGGCACTCACGTGGGAAACTGGATGGAGCTCTAGGCTCCTGGCTGCTGGCTGGCCCACATGGCTGTTTAGACCATCTGGGGAGTAAATCAGCACACGGAAGCACTCTTCTTTCTCTCTCTCTCTCATCTCTTCTTCCCTCTCTGTTACTTTGCCTTTCAAATCAATATATAAATAAATCATTTTTTAAATGTAAGCTTATTGGAGTAAAAAAATTTTGAAATCCACGTGTAGATTTTTCATAATACACATTTTCCTGAACTTTTTGAAGACCCCTCCATATACAGCTGCTCGGGTCCCAACATATTTGACTTAGGAGTAGTACCTGGACATCGGTATTTTTACAAATGCATTCAAGGGAATTTAATAAGCAGCCACTACAGACATCACCTTTAATAACTTATAGAATTCTGATGTCACACCTCTTTCTGAGCACAACTAGATCAACCACTCACCTGAAATATATATTGAAAAGAGTTTTAATTTTTAAAATAAGTGGACCAAAGTAATATGGTCAAAATGACACTTTGATCCTATTTTTAAATATTAGTCTATATTTTATGTTGACGCTGATGAAGCCATGATCACTGTGCACATATCTTCCTTGGTTTTAAGGCAGAAAGGAGCCTAATTTTACTTCTCTTGATCACACGACATCCTCCCCTACTGCAAATTTAAAACTTGCCTGCATTAGTCCAAAAAAGCTGGAAAAACGGTTTTACCACTTGTTCTGCTTAGAAACATTAATGAAAAGCAAAATCAAACTTTCCAAACTACAAATGCGCACACCTCCAATCCTCTTATGGTGAGTTAGTTCTATAGAACTATTTTGAGGAGTGACTGCTATGAAAGGTTAGACCTTTTGTTTAAGCTCTTGTGATAGCCAGCACAATATAATAAATGAAGTTGGAGGAAGAAACAGATTACTAGTGAGGATAAGAAATCAGTGAAAAGGACACAAAATTTGAAAACACTAACTTTGGAGTGTTTCAAGCTATCTTGGGTTTGAGAATGTATTTGGTACCTGAAATACTACTGCATGTGGATATGTTTTCAGAATTATTTATTTATTTATTTGAAAGTGTGACAGAGAGAGACCTGCTATCCACTGGGTCACTCCCCAAATGCCCACAATAGCCAAAGCCAGGAGCCATGACCTCCACCCGGGGCTGGCATGTGGAAGGGACCCAAGCCTCAGTAGCAAGAAGCCAGATGGGACTTGGAGCAGCTGGGACTGGGACCCACACTCTGATGGAAGCAGAGGAGGGCATCTCAAGCGGTGGTTTAACCTGCTCCACACAACACCGGCCCCAAGTAGGTGTGCAGCTTTTTTTTGTGAACAAAATCTAAAAAGTTCAAGGTTATTTCACTTGAATACTATGATAATGTCCTCTAAACGTTTGAGATGCTTCTCGCTACTTTTTTTTTTTTTTTTTTTTTGACAGGCAGAGTTAGACAGTGAGAGAGTGAGAGAGAGAAAGGTCTTCCTTTTCTGTTGGTTCACCCCCCCAAATGGCCGGTGCATATAGCCAGTGCGCAGCGCCGATCTGAAGCCAGGAGGGCCCAAGGACTTGGGCCATCCTCCACTTCCATCCCGGGCCACAGCAGAGAGCTGGACTGGAAGAGGAGCAACTGGGACAGAACTGGCACCCCAACCGGGACTAGAACCCAGGGTGCCGGCACTGCAGGCAGAGGATTAGCCAAGTGAGCCGTGGCGCCAGCCACTTCTCGCTAATTCTTTCACCACCCTTAAAACCCAGAGGGTGCTCTGAGAAAGGCAGCTAACAACCTGCTGCTGGAGTCTGTCCAAGCAGTCCAGACACAGCTGTGTTAATGAATGGTTTTAATCTGTGAAAGTGCATACCTTCCCTGTCTCCAGGAGCTTGAGAAGTTGAACTCAGAAGCTGGAGAGTAAAATAAAACACTGACATTGACAAAACTAAAGATGAAGTCTTTTCTACTCACAGAGCAATCTGGGAGTGGGACATCTCCAGCCTCTGGTCAGCACATCTGATGATTTCTTCATATGACGTAACCTTGAAAAACATAAGCTGAACAGATTACACTTGGAGAAACTCCAATTTTATGTTTTGCTTCTTAAAAAAATCTCTACAAATTCAATTATTTGACCGCCATCAATTAAAGTTTCATCATAGGCAAAACAGCTTCCTTCCAATTTGAGGTCAGAAAGATGAATACAAACAGAATGACAGCATGCCTATGCATCAAGCAGAGAAAGTAAAATGAGTCAACTGTAACTCAGACGTTTTCCACAGAAGTGGGACATGTGTCAACTAATGGTCAGTCTACATGGTTTAAGCCAGTGAAACTTTGCAAAGGTAGATTAGGGGTGGGCCTTTGGCACAGCAGTAAAGTCACCACTTGGGACACCCATATCCCATATCAGAGTTCCCTATTCAAGTCCCAGCTACTCTGCTTCCAATCCAACTTCCTGCTAATGCATATCCTAGAAGGTAGACGAATATGGCTCAAGTACGTCAGGTCTCCAGATTGAGTTCTTGGCTCCTGGCTTCAGTCTGGCCCAGCCCTGGCTGTTGCAGGCATCTGGGGAGTGAACCAGGGATTGGAAAATCTCTCTCTGTCTCTCTGTCATTCTGTTTGTAAATTAAATGAAAATAAATTTTTCAAAAAAAATTAAATGTAGACACTAAACTAGACCACTAGCTTGGAAAGATTTATTATTACTCTGAAAGTAAAGTAGCAGGGCAAAGACTTCAAATTGCCTGTAGCAGAATGGGTAGACACACACAATGTTCTTTCCTAGTTCCTAGCTAAAAGACTAATGGAGGCAATTTATAACAGGATTTTGAAGTAAGAGATAAATGAAAATGTGCCATATCATCTCAGATTCTTTTTGGCTCAAAAATTCTATTATTTTAATGTCTGGCACAGTTCTTTTTTTTTTTTTAAAGAGTTATTTATTATTTGAAAGGCAGAGTTACAGAGAGGCAGAGAAAGAGAGAGAGAGAGAAGTCTTCTACCCACTGATTCACTCCCAAGATGGCTGCAACGGCCGGAACTGTGCCGATCTGAAGTCAGGGGCCAGAAGCTTCTTCAGGGTCTCCCACGAAGGAGCAGGGGCCCAGGACTTGGGCCATCTTCTACTGCTTTCCCAGGCCACAGCAGAGAGCTGGATTGGAAGTGGAGCAGCCGGGTCTTGAACTAGCACCCCTATGGGATGCTGGCACTGCAGGTGGTGGCAGCTTTACCTGCTCCACCACAGCGCCAGGTCCTGGCATAGTTCTTCAAAGGCAAATATCTCTGTAAGGAAATTTGTACCTTATTTATTAAGTTGCCTAAATGTCTTTGATACTCATCATTTTCTTCCATGAGTCTGCCACAGTGGTCTTCTTTTGACTCAAGAAGATATCCTAATTTTGTGATCTATGGAAAAACATTAGTAAAAATACTAACCCGAAACCACTATGAAAGCTAGATGTGGATGCTAAAAACAAAAGAGAACCGTGAGTTTTACTCTATTCCAACATTTCTTTAAACTGAGTTGTCAGATATGTAAATTGTGACAGGTATGAACCAGATCCTGGTGAGACCACACTTCCCATAGATGTACAGGAATTAGCATGGGTTTGAAACAGCTTTGCAAATAACTAAACTCATGTTAATGCACAAAAATATGTACCAGCCCCTAATCTTCACTACTTTCTTTCCACGTGGAACCCATGCACAGGCACGTGTGACTCCATGTGAAACAGCACTGCTGTCATGCTTCACGAGACATCTTGAGAAATACCCTCCCTTCTACAAATGACTGCAGTTCTTTTTAAGATTTATTTATTTGAAAGGCAGAGTTACAAAGGGAGAGACAGAGAGGGAGAGAGAGAGACAGAGAGATAGAGTGAGAGTGAGCTACCATCTGCTAGTTGACTCCCCAAACGGCTGCCATGGCCGAGGCTGGGCCAGGCTGAAGCCAGGAATTCATCTGGGTCTCTCCCATGGGTGCAGGGGCCCAGGCACTTGAGCCATCTTTGGCTGCTTTCCCAGGTGCATTAGCAGGCAGTGGGATCAGAAGCAGAGCAGCCAGGACTTGAACCAGTGCCCATACGGGATAACAGCATTGCAGGTGGCGCTTAAGCCACTGCACCACAACTGCCCCATGACTGCAAGTTTTTAAAAAGCTCCAGCTTAATGTATTTCACAATCTGATCTATGTTTTCAAGAAAACTATTAAAAATTGTGTTTCTAAAAGTGACATCCAGGATTCACATGTCCCACCAGCAGTTACCTTAATTTTGAAAGTAATTTTAGAAGAAAAACTACAGAAATGTTTCCATCAGATAAAAATGCTAAGCGTGACTTTCAGTAATCTAATATCTTAAATACACTTAGTTTTCTGCAGTGACATAACACTAGAGAAAGCAACGACAAAGCAAATTTGCTGTAGACATAGGAACGTTCTTTCTCTCATACAAGTAAACTGGGGGACAACATCAAGTCAGTGGTCCTAACTCTCCTGACCATATACATTAGTTAAGGTCGGTAGTACAGATATTTGTGCCTCCATTTAGCTGATATAACCCAAGTGAAGCAAGTTTGAACGTTTGTAAGGAATATGTCTATGTCTAGAAGGGGAAGCACTGGAGTCTCCGTTTACCAACGGTGGTGCAGGGCTTTTCCACTGCATCTCGCGCTCAGCTTCACACACTTCATGACAGTTACCAAAGCAACGTGGGCTTCCCATTTCCTGGTTCCCATGGTGGACTTCATGGGCACATTGTGAGTTCTTTATTGGCTTTCAGGATGAAAGTAATAATCCCTTTAAACCCACAGATTAATTTTGTATTTGGTAACTGCAGATTAAATAGCAGCAAAATGTTTTCTTATAGAATAATACTGGGGGGAGGGGCGGCACTGTGGCATAGTGGGTAAAGCCGCCACCTGCAGTGCTGGCATCCCATATAGGCGCTGGTTCGAGTCCCGGCTGCTTCACTCTGATCCAGCTCTCAGCTGTGGTCTGGGAAAGCAGTAGAAGATGGCCCAAGTGCTTGGGCCCCTGCACCCAAGTGGGAGACCAGGAAGAAGCTCCTAGCTCCTGGCTTCAGATCGGTGCAGCTCTGGCCGTTGTGGTCATTTGGGGAGCGAATCAGCAAATGGAAGACCTCTCTCTCTCTCTGCCTCTGCATCTCTGTAACTACCTTTCAAATAAATAAATATTTTAAAAAATCAATTATGTTAATAAATATTTTTCATTACAGCGGGATCCAGCCGATGGTTAAATTGCTCTGTACCTATGCAGACACCAGCGCATCCTCTCATCTTCCCATTTTTCCTCCTCCGTCTACACGCCACCAAGGTCAACTGCAAGGGCTCTTTCCCAGGACAGCCAGGTTGCTGCGCACAGCTCCTGGGGTAGCACATGCACCTGTATAACCGTGCCCAGTCACAATGGAAAACATTGAAACCAACAAATCTGATTACAGAAACCATATTGGACAATATTTAATGTTTCAAAACTTCAATGCTGTACCTTTAAGGCTGAATAATCCCGCACCATGACAGTGTGGCCATTTTAATGAGCAAAGTTTTAGGAGACTAATAATTTCTGACACTTGCTCACAAAATAATATTGGCTACAAAGATGACAACAAGGTAAGCAAAGGCCTCTCTTACCAAGTAATCAAGCTCCTCGTTCAGATTGTGGTACTTATCCAGTTTGGCTCCCAACAAGACAGGCAGATCTCTGACATTCTTGGCTTCATTTGAATCACGGCCTGTAACCTGAGATGAAATACATTTGTGTTCCCTTTCAATGTTTTAATACTCCTTGCAACATTTGAGAATAAACACGTTACTGTTTTAAAAAGCAAAGAGATCTTCAGTGGCTGGAATCAAAGAAGTGTAAAACCTTGAGCCAGAAGGATTTGCACAAATTTGCCAAAAGAACATAAACATGCGACATTGTATTTTTGCATGTTAAAAACCGTACACACAACTAATGTTAAACTCACCTCAAAAGCATGATCATGAAATGCCTTTTCATTAGCAATTAACTCCCTAAAGGTTGTGATTTTGTCTTTATGTTTCAGTAGCTAAGGGGAAAAAAAGCATTTAATATTTCAGAGGAGAAGAAATAAAAACAAATTCTATTATAAGCATAATACAATTATCAAATGACACAGAATCCAGTCTCTGGTTTCCAGAAGACACAGCGCCTGGTCAGAGTTCACACAGCAGGCCTAGGACTGCCAGGCCTGGGAAGGCCTGCCAGCGCGGCTGCCCCTTGACCAGTCCCTGGGCACTGCAGCCGTGGGAGAGTTTCCACCATTCCCTGACAACCTATTCACCCAAAGTGCACGGGTTTGGAAAGCACTGACTTCCTTCTAGGCTCTGGAACTTTAGGTACGTGCTAGGCAGAGGGTATCTATGTGGACAGCTCCCAGTGAAAACCCAGGCATTGGGTCTGTAGAGCTTCCCTGGCAGACAACACTTCACAACTCACTGCTGGGGCAGTGAAGTGCCACCCACATGACTCCACAAGGATCTCGGAGGCCTGAGTCGCATGTCCTCTGAGCTGTGCCCCACGCGCCTCTCCCACGGCTGACCCTGGTTTGCATCCTTCAGCAGTGTTAAATCATAACTATGAGTGATAACGGCATCCTGACTTCTGTGAGTGCTTTAGCAAATCATCAAACCTGGGAGAAGGAGCTTATCCTAATGATCAAATGTTACTGCCACCAGGCTGTTAACAATGCCTTCAAGGAAAAAAATAGCCAGTTCTGGATACAACGAACAATCGTTTCTTCTTTGTTTACTGTTCCTTTTTAATAATAACATCTTAATGTATCAGTATACAAATTTCTCCAAGTATCAGTGAGGTAAAGTGTGCTGCACAAACTTTGTTTAGTTATTGAAAAATTCCAGTATTTAAAATAAGTAGAGAAAAAGCTGAATGAGACTCCAGCTAACGCTCATTCAGCTCAACAGTTAACAGCTGATGGCCAATCTTGCATCATGCACCCTGCTCCCTTGCAGCCCCTCACTGAAGCAAACTACACACACTGCATCAGGTCATCAGTCCCTGTTTCAGTGACTACATAGAAATTAACCAAAAGAACACAAACGTCTGAAACTGTCTTTCTGGTAATATGCGTGGTGGGAGCAGACTTCCTGGAAGGTTTACAGAAGTGGAGGTTCCTCTGCGGCCTGTGTGCTCAGGGTCCTTTTCCATGTTGTTAGGAGATAAAACAATTTCCTAGGGAACTGCAACACATGTTCTAGCTGGCCAGTTCACAGCTGCACAGAACTGAACCCGATAGGATCCAAGATTCCACATTTGTACAAGTTCTTTTCCCTTTAGTCAATGCTGTCACTTCTGTGTCCCTCTCAGATTAAACACGGCACAGTGGAATGTCCTCTTTTCATCTTCCCTATGTAACGGACCCTCTCAGTTCCATCTCTCAAGTTTTATACCACCAGGCCAAGAAAAGAGTAATTGCGGAAAATCTGGGAACCTCTGTCCTTACCCTTCCACCCACCTGAGAAATGAAATGATTTGTTTCCCGTGTTTCCAATATCCCAAGTCTGAAATCACTAAAAGGATGTCAAACTATCCTTCAGGGCTTGACGGTGCCATAAAAAAGTGAAAAAAACAAAACAAAACAAAACAAAAAAAAACACATTTCCTGTAGATGGATGAGATTTTCCAGTGCTTAAATTAGACACACTATAAATTAAATTTAAATCTGAACACTGTACTTGCTCAGTGAGGGGCACAGTAAAGCTAATCTGATCCTCACAAAAAATTCTTAAAAGAATCCAATTTTAGGAGTTCCTCTTTTCTTGAAATTCTCTTCATGCAACTGATAGACTTTTAGAATTAAGAACAAGTACAGTACCTCTTTATCCAAGTTTTTCTTCTTGAGATGGAAGCTCTTCAATATTTGCAGCATTATGTCACTCACTTTCTCACTCTCTCTGAAGTGTCCAGCATGGGGATTGATGATGTCCTGGGGTAACCGTTTGGGAAATGGAATTAAAAGATTTTCATGAAAAAAAAAAAACCATATAAAATTATTCGTGAGGTTAAAGAGGGGCAGGGAGAATATGCAAATAAAAGAAGTCTCCCTTGCAAACTAAGTGGCCAAACTGAAGGGGGTCAGATCATAGTGTACGCCTGTCTTCAGCTGCTCCTCCCATGACAGCTCACAGAGGGATATTCAGGAAGACTTCACACTGATGCACACTTGTGCACAAGTTGGGACATACTAGTACAACTGCTGCCAAGGTGATATGCTTCTACAGCAACTCTGCAAGCTTTCACATTCATGTTTATGCCTTCCCCCTTAGGCTCGTCAGTTTACAAATCCAAATTTTAGACAAGCTGCTACACCTGACCCCAGAGCAAGGAGACATCCTCAACAACATGGAACTGCAGGTATTTCCAAGCTACTGAGAATGAAGGCACTAGCAACAATATCTAGAGAGCAAAAGAGCGTGGTCTTGCATCTCAGTTCTCCCATTTAACCATATGAGAGACTTTAGACAAGAGACTCAAGTATTCTGAGCCTTATGTTTTTAAAAATTAATTTGAGAGGTAGAGAAGGGTGGGGAGAGAGAGACACCCCAGAGTCAGCTCCCAGCCACTGAGACATTCCCCAAATACCTGCAATGACTGGGGGCTGGGCAGAAGCAGGGAGCAGCGGGAACTCAGTCCAGGTCGCCCACATGGGTGACAGGCACCTAACTACTTGAGCCATCACCTGCTGCCCCCCACAGTATGCATTAGCAGGAAGCCAGAACTAGGAGTGGAGCCAGGACTTGAACACAGGTTCTCTGATAAAGGATGCGGACGTCTCATGGGACGTGGGTGTCCTAAGCAGTGGCTTAACTGCTAGGCCAAACACCTGTCCCTTGAGCTCAGTTTGTTTTCCATATTAAAAACAAAAAAGCTGAGTAATATAAAGAATTGTGTAAAGATTGAATGATATAATTAAAAAATCGGGTACAGTAAACAATGTCTCCAAAGACAGGTCAGCAAGTCAGCAAATACTTGTTGAATGCCTGTTTGGAGTTTAACCTTGCATTAGCTACTGGGATGCAATATACCATGGCGGGTGGATTTCTAGTGAGGGTAGGAAACACAGAATAAGCAAAGAAATATTTGTTTGGGAGGCTGGCATTGTGGCATAGTGGGTAAAGCTGCTGCCTGCGAGGCTGGCATCTCACATGGGTGCAGGTTTATGTCCCAGCTGCTCCACTTCTGATCCAGCTCCCTGCTAATAGCCTGGGAAAGCAACGGAAGATGGCCCAAGTGCTGGGACCTCTGCACCCGTGTGGGAGACCCGGAAGAAGCTTTGGCTCCTGGCTTCATCCTGGCCCAGCCCTGGCTGTTATGGCAATCTGGGAGTATGAACCATCGATGGGAGATCTCTCTCTCTCTCTCCGTAAAACTCTTTCAAATAAATAAACAAATTTAAAAAAAAAAAAAAAACAGAAATATTTGTTTGGGATGGGATGTGATCTACGATGAAGAGGGCTGATGACATACTCCACCTGTGAGAGATCTGACACAGAAGCAGCCAGGGAAAGCAGCCACCATGCAACAGCAGAAACCCAAGCAAACACGGAGAGGGAGCGCATGCTTGATGGGGGTGGGAGGTGGGGGAGTTTGTAGCAAATAAGACTCTGTGCCACATTTAAATTTAAATTCAAATTATAAACTTTTATTTATTTATTTTCATGTTATTTGAAAGGCAAAGAGGGGAGAGAGTTCTTCCACTTGCTGGTTCACTCTCCAAAGGCTGCAACAGTTGGGATGCAGACCACCCAAGTAATGATTTAACCACTGCACCATATGCCTGGCCCCTGTGTGGGGAGCAACTCGGACTAGACTGTTACTGGAATTAAGACTTATTCTATGCATCTGCTCTCCCACAATATGGTGCTGAGAAGGGAGTAACAACTTCTACACAGCTGCCTCTTGCCAACTTGAGTGATGACCTGCAGGAGCTGATCCTGCTCCTGATTGGAGGAGAGCAGCGTACTCGGCGTGTGGGTAGCAGAGTTGGGATTGGTGGAAGAGGACTATAAAGGAGGAGAGAGACAACATGCACCAGGAACATCTAAGGGGAACACCTGAGCAGCCCCCGAGAGAGCCGGCCGGCGGTGTGCTGCTCCCCCACGGAAGTGGGGAAAGTGGCAGGGGGAACCGCCCTTCCACGGAGGTGGCAGGGTCGGTAGCCAACCCGGGAAGAACCAGCAGCAAACCTGGGGAGGGCCGAGCAGACAAAAGAACAGCGCAGGGTCCTGTGTCGTTCCTCCGCGAAGAGGGGGAGCGACATAATGGTGCCGTGACTCGGATAGGAAACCTAGGAGGGAAGAAACGGGAAGAAGTGGGAAAATACCAGAGAGAGAGACTAGCAAAGAGCCTAGGGAAAAGCTGGATGGAAAAGGTGCCGGAAGAAGCTATTGAAAGCCTAGGCATAGACTCGGATACGGACTGTGGGAAAGGAGTTAGGATTGAAAGTGAAAGTGAAAACAAGAAGAAATTTAGACTCAGATACGGACTATGACGGGGAAGCTAGGAGATTAAAAGCGAAAGTGAAAGCTAGAAGAAACTTAGACTTGGACATGGACTGTGGGGAGAAGCCAGGAAAAATGAGAGGGGAATATTGTTGGAAGAAAAGTTAGGAAACATACTGGGTAGAGAAAAATATGTTAGGGAGGATGAAGCCGCGGGGGCAGGTTGAGGCGGAGACGTAAGCTATGTTGGGATTCGTCAAGTCAGCCCGGGGAGCAAAAGGCGAAAATCTAAAACCAGAGGCAGAGACGCGTAAGCTAGGTTGGAATCCGTCAGATTAGCCCAGGGAGCAAAAGACGGGAAGCCAAACCGAAGCGGAGACGTGAGCTAGGTTGAATTCGCCAGGTTAGCCCGGGGAACTTAGACTGAAAACCGAGAAGCGGAAACGTAAGCTAGGCTGTGTGATTCGTGGAAGCCACCGTGCGCAGAGAGAGCGCGCGGGGCGCGAGTAGGAAACGCGGGGCTAGCGCGAAGGCTGTGGTGCGGGCGCGAAGGGGCGCGGAGACCAAGGAGTGTGTGCGAAGCCGGGAAGCCGCGCAGAGCTGGGAAGCCGCCGCGGGGCGAGGCGCTGAGAAGCAGCCTCGGGGCGGGCGCCGGGAAGCCGCGAAGATAAGAGAAACAGAAGTTTAGAAGTAAAATGAGAGAAATAGGAATGCTGGCAGATAGAAGTAAAATAGGAGAGATAGGAATGCCCGGAGATAGAGAAATAGAGAAAAATAAGGCCTCCCCACCACATGGCAATGAGAGAGCTTGGATTCGGTCTGCCTGATTAGTGAGGCGGTGAGCACCTGTGGGCGGCTAGCAGCTTCTGCGCCGCAGGTCACCGAAGACAGGCACGTTATCAACACCAATAAGTCTCCCCACAAGACGGCAATGAGAAGGCTCGGATTCGGTTTGCCTGATTGGTAGGGCTTGTAAGCACCTGCAGGCAGTTCTAGCAAAGCAGAAGAATGCGCTGCGGGCACCGAACACAGGCATGCATCAGCCCCTAAAAACCTCCTCACAACATGGCGAAGAGAGGACCCGGATTCGGTTTGCCTTGATTGGTAGGGCTTGGTAAGCACCTTGTGGGCACTTCCAGGCAAGCAGAGCAGAAGTGTTGTGCCACAGGGCACCGAAGACAGGCCACGTTATCAACGCCAAAAATAAAAAGAAAGGGGGAATTGTGGGGAGCAACTCGGACTAGACTGTTACTGGATAAGACTTATTCTATGCATCTGCTCTCCCACAATATGCGCTGAGAAGGAGTACACTTCTACGCAGCTGCCTCTTGCCAACTGAGTGATGACCTGCAGGAGCTGATCCTGCTCCTGATTGGAGGAGAGCAGCGTACTCGGCGTGTGGGTAGCAGAGTTGGGATTGGTGGAAGAGGACTATAAAGGAGGAGAGAGACAACATGCACCAGGAACATCTAAGGGGAACACCTGAGCAGCCCCCGAGAGAGCCGGCCGGCGGTGTGCTGCTCCCCCACGGAAGTGGGGAAAGTGGCAGGGGGAACCGCCCTTCCACGGAGGTGGAAGGGTCAGTAGCCAACCCGGGAAGAACCAGCAGCAAACCCGGGGAGGGCCGAGCAGACAAAAGAACAGCGCAGGGTCCTGTGTCGTTCCTCCACGAAGAGGGGGAGCGACACCCTGTATTCACATTTTTTTAAAAAACAAAACTTTAGAGGCCAATGTTTGGCCTGCTGGTTAAGATATGGCCTGGGATGCGTAAATCCCACAATGCAGTGCCTAGGTTCAAGACTTGGTTCTGCTCCTGAGTCCAACCTCCTACAAATGCACACTCGGAGGAAGTGGCCCTCGTACTTAGCATCTTGCCACCCACGTGGGAGACCCGGATTGCTCCCTGGTTTCCAGCTTCAGCCTGGCCCAGCCCTGGCTGTGGTGGGCATCTGGGGAGTGAACCAGCAGAGGGAAGTTCTCTCATTCGTACTCTCTCATGCTCTCTCTCTGCCAAATAAAAACATTCAATTAAAAAAAAATTCAGGTAGACACAGTCTGTGGGCTACCACTGTGTGACACCAGTATGAGTATGTATGTATGTATGTATGCCAGTTCCACACACAACAAATGCTGGTGTTCAACAAAATTTAGCTAAAACAAAAGAGAAATTTCCCCCAACTCACTTGAACATTTGCTCACTCACTGTATTTCTCGTACCAAGAATGTGACAAATCTATGCCTCCAGATTTCTCTGATAAGTGCACTGAAGATGAAAAGAGGGGCTGGTGCTGTGGCATAGAGGGCTAAGCCTCTGCTTGTGGTGCCCGCATCCGATACAGGCACCTGTTCGTGTCCCTGCTGCTCCCCTTCCCACTCAACTCTCTGCTAATGGCCTGGAAAAGCAGTGGAAGACAGTCCAAGTGCTTGGGTCTCTGTATACGCGTGGGAGACACAGAAGAAGCTCCTGACTCCTGGCTTTGTATGGGCTCAGCTCTGGCCATTGCAGCCAGT